AAAACAAACCTTCAGAAGATGCTTTTACATATCTTCTCAAAAGCGATCAATTTTTGGGTGGTCTCGCACTGTAGTATTTTAAATTTCACTGACTTCCCGTTGAGAAAATGGTAGGAACTTCAAAATAACCGGGGGCCCGACATGGCCAGATGGATAAGGCGCTCGACTCGCAATCTGAGGGTCGCGGGTTCGAATCCCCGTCCCACCAAACATGCTCGCCCTTTCAGCCGTGGGGGCGTTATAAGTGACGGCCAATCCCACTATTCGTTGGTAAAAGAGTAGCCCAAGAGTTGGCGGTGGGTGATGAAGACTCTAGTCTTACACTGCTAAATTAGGGACGGCTAGCGCAGATAGCCCTCGTGTAGCTTTGCGCGAAATTCAAAAACAAACAATCAAGATAACTGGAGGTTCATCAGAAACAGAATATGACTTTCTCTGATCGTAACTGAGTTTGGCAAAAAAAAAGAAGAAAAAGACTGGAAACAAGTTGCACACATTAAAATAATTTCTATTTCAATACACAGTCAAACAATAATCAATGTTAATGACAAGTTAAAGAGTGGCACTTCTATTGAAGACATAGGTCCATTATAATTATTTCATAAGCTATGTTGAGTTTTGGTTAAATATCTATATGTAAGTTATTACAGATTGAGAAGATATGGCAAAAACATATACGAAAAACAACAATGCCATTTTTCTCAGGGTGTAGCACTACACACAAAACTGACGGTCAGCTCCACTTCAGAACAAGGTATGTTGTATTTCTGGGGCATCACCTAACCTACCAGTGGAAAAAATTCATTGTCGATTTCTGTACAATGTGTTCGATGTAACTAGTGCAAGAGGATCTTATTAGCTCTATTGACCAACTCTTTATATGAAGAGCAAAATAGCCAATACTCATAGAAATTTTGAAAATTTTTATATATCATTTGAGAGGGGGTAGAAACATAAGGCATCTGCACAACACAACACTATCTAAGTATACCCAGGCAATGTCGAACTGTAGTTCTAATGTACGTAGTTCCACCGAGACTTTATATCATGTGACTTGGTGAGCTTCATATTCAAAATTATTTTAATATAACTTACTCAATCGTCTGTATGAAAATGTATGAGCATTTTTGATTAACACCTTTAAGTTTTCTTTTTTATAGATGTGTTAAATGAATTGACACTGTTAAGCCAATAGTGAAAAGTGTTATTTGCTATTTTGATAAACTTTTTATGCAGATTTCTTAGTTTAAACAACTGTGAATAATATTAATAACAGTTTCATCGATGAAACGACTTTATTAATTTCAGGTTTTAGTCGTTTAATTAATAAAGTTTCTTTAATATGTAAATTGTTTTCATTGTTGCTTCTTGCCATAACGTTGAAGTAAGCATCCCTAACTTTTACGTTACATCTACTCTTGACATGTTCTTTTATACCCGATCTGTTGTTACTGAGTGATTCTCTATGTTCCCGCACATTTACAGAAATAACGTTAGATGTTTTTTGAGGAAAAATCTTATCTTCAAATCAACAAAAATAAAACACATTAATTTACTTTCAGGTTCAAAAATACGCCTTAGGTCTGTTTGAGGGAAAAACTCTACAACAAAGATTATGCATCTGTTTTTTCACTAAGATACCATATTTTCCAGGATGTACAATCGATATCAGTATAGTTTATTGTTACCATAGCTAAACTCCTAAATATATTGTTACTAGTTTTGCCCGACCGTCGCAAATGACTGGTTGGAGTTTTGTACCCCACCCATCGCCATTTTTTAAGCGAGATTTGTTCACCAACCCCCCTCCTTCATTGTAAAAGAAAAACAATCACAATCACACACTGAGAAAATAAAAACAATTTTCAAGTACGCTCTCAAAATACCAATAATAATGGTGTAATTTAAATTAAAAATTGCTCATAATATGCGCATAATACGCACAAAAATTGACAAACAGCTTATATATATATATATATATATTAGACCAGTTATCCGGAAGTAGTAATAAATACTGCTAGGCAGTAAGAGTCCAAGGCCTCACTAACATAATCTTATCACTTAAACCTTGTCGCATAACGAACTAGCAGAAATTATTGAAGTATAAATGATATATCTATTTCACGTTCTGTGGTAATCGAAAGATTTCACAAATCCACAAAGTTGATGTGACCTATGTAGTTAAGATACTTGTTCCTGTAAGCTGATGACCAACACAGTTACATAATTTTTGCCCCTGTAAACTGATGTGACCTATGCAGTTAACATAGTTTTTTCCCCCTGTAAGCCTCAGTATTATGGATTACGAGATTTTACTTAGCCAAGAAGTTAATTATTTCAGAATATATTAAAGGAAGTTTGACTTAGATCTTACCAAAGACTTCAAGTCTGTTGGGACTTCATCACCAAGTGGTAGACTTGTGGCAGATTTTTTGTTCACTTTGTCTGGAAACACAATGTCTTGCCATCTTACCTTCCACCAATACTCACTCAAAGTAGACTTGTACTTGATGCGTCTACAAGTAATATTACACACACAATTTTAATACACTGTACTTTTTTTATTTCTAACCGATACAGACAACTATGTTTTGCAATATTGAACATTCTGTATTAATGTAATGAGTTCAAAATTATACTATGAAAGAAACGTTTTTGTATCAAGTTTTCATAACAAGTAGCATTTTACTTCTCAAGAAAATACTTACAGAGAAGCTATTGTGATCTTCACCTTCAAACTTTTATGGCATCAAGAATGTAATAAAATCAATAAAAAATTTATTTTTGTTGAAGAAGAATACATTCATTACCATTGCCATATATCTGCTCCACAAATGGTCAATAACATGTTCAATGTGTTTAACAGTATACGCCGAGCACTTGGGCCACATATAACGCTTATAAAATGTTCAAATTAAATAATGCACGCTGTGTATTTGCCCCACAAAATGGCCTATAACGTATTTAATGCGCTTAAAAGATGCGGAAAGTGTATGTTCACCAAAGTTTAAATAATAATTTGCACGTGCGTAGTCAAAGGATATATGTGGTGTAAGAGCGGTTTATATATCAGTCTTCGTCGCGAGTTCTTTACCATCAAAAATAGAAAGAACACTTAGTGAATTTACATGATGGTTGCGTAAAGCCTCTCTGGAAATTAAACACGATATACCTTTTCTTTTCTATGCTCATCAATTAGAGGCGGAACTGGGGGGGGGGGGGTAGGTTGTAAATGGCGCCTGAACCCCTGACTAAAAAGCTTAACTCGCAATTGCCAGAATTCACATCCTTTGATATTAGTATTTTTGCGTAATTTAGGTTTGTTTGTTCGTAGTTAAGCACAAAGGTTGGTTTGTTTTGTTAATTTCTATGCAAAATAATCCCTATTTTGTATCTATAATCTTCTTTACGCTTCGTTTTCCGCATGCCCTAATCCATAATATTTATGCTAATACTTTGTATTGATGGTAGACGACATTGGTACAAGAGTATGAAAAGGAATAAAAGTGTATAAACATCTTATAAGACGGTTAGTGAAAATCATAGTTTACATATCCCTGACGATGAAGAGGATTTAAAATTACTGGAGAAAACAAAAAGTGCTAAAGCAGTAAGAGTAGGTTGGAAAGTAAGTTTTCAAACATTACTACTGATCTTCTGGCTATATCAGGAGGGAATTGTTTCATGCTAAGTTTCAGAATGCAAAATTTCGTTTGTTAGTATTGTTTTACATTCGTTGAAAGGTACATGCTACATATAGACACATCTGTTTTAAACATACAAAAAGATTTAATAATCATCAGAAATGCATTGAATTTTGTTTGTATTTGTCCTGCACTAGTGTAAAAATATGCTAAAAGCTCTGAAACTGCAATTATATATGTCTATTTGTGATCGTTACAAACTTCATTCTCGGTTTTAAAAAGGTATAAAATCTTGCTTAAGGAGAAGTAGTTTTACCATTCAAAATACCGTATTTTCCCGAGGACTTCGCCCATTGGGCCCTGCTAGGTCTGTATGGCAAGTCCCAGTTCCTAGATTTAAAATATGTTCATCCTTTCAGACAAGTTCTTATGATACGTGGATGCCCATTGTTATTCTCAGTGAATGACAACTTCGTTTCGACTACAGTTTTACAAGTATATTTTGGCCCGGCATGGCCAGGTGGTTAGGACGCTCGACTCGCAATCAGCGGGTCGCGGGTTCGCATCCTTGTCCCACCAAACAAGCTCGCCCTTTCAGCCTTGGGGGCGTTATAATGTGACGGTCAGTCCCACTATTCGTTGGTAAAAGAGTAGCCCAAGAGTTGGCGGTGGGTGGTGATGACTAGTTGCCTTCCCTCTAGTCTTACACTGCTAAATTAGGAACAGCTAGCGCAGATAGCCCTCGTGTAGCTTTGCGCGAAATTCAAAACAAACAAACAAGTATATTTTCATTGTTTGTGTAACATTATTCAGTCTTTAGGTATGACGAATTTGGGAAAGGTCCATTCTTTAAGCAGCATATTTTTTTTTTAATTAAGGCACTGACTTCTTACCCAAACTTATAATGTCTACCTAACCTAGTTTCAGGAAGGCGAATGTAGAAATCATAAAGAAAAAGGCGGAAGCACCTAGCACAGAACAGCACCTTTTGTGATTAATCACCGACTCTAAAAGTCTTCACGACCAATAGTTCATCATTCTGAGGAAATTAGCAGACAGTTTCTTTAAGATGTACTTGTAGAAAGTTGATGAGTAGTGGAAGCAGGACACGCTGTTTCAGAGCCTGAACAAGGAAATAATGAATAGACCTATTGGGATTTCCACAGCTTTGAGTTAGGATATGCTAAGCCAGATTAAAAATTGACTTGTCTAAATAATTAAAGCTCGGTTATCTAAGCTGTTCATGAATTCTAAGCATAGTTTTCTAAACTACTCATAAAATAGGAGAATAATAGCTTTTGTCGAGCTACTGTCGGAACAGATAAACAAGTTGTCAAAAACTTTAATATAACAGATAATAAGTGTTCCATACAGAAACTGCAGACGGAGCTAATAGATATTATACAAGAAGCTAACTATATTTATACATGAATTGTAGTGTTTAAGATATCGATGATAGCTAAATATGAGTGAAGGACCCCAGACGAAAATAGCTTATGAAATTGAAACTTAGGTGCCATGAAGTGTAGCCTCCTACCATTACGCGATAATAATATTGAATACCTATCAAATGTTATCCAAAGAGAGCTCTCCGAAAACATAATTAAATTCTCATTTAGGTCTTATGAATTTAGAAAAAAAAGCTATTTAACGTTCTACTGATGTCTAGTTCTTATGTAAGAAAGAAAACACTGACGATTCACCTGCAAAATAAAAAAACAGCAAAAAACAAATACAAACCGAATGCGCAATAATAAGCAAATCTCGATAAGACTCAAAACTTTCTATATAAAATAATATAAAGAAAGACTAGAAAAACATCCGCTCTATTAACCCTTCAAATGCGTTTGACATCATATGATGCAAACATTTTGCGCGCAACATTTTGAGTGGCCCGCCGCAGAAATTCGCGAATCTTTGTAGTAGGCAGATTTAAAGAAGCCACGAACGAAGGGTTAAAGATTATTAAGCAGACGATTTTATTTAAACATCGAATTTCACGAAATTCACGTGGTTGCCTGAAAGAAAATTTATCTAAAGAAGGGCTCTTGCCGGAAACGGTGCATATGCGTTTATGAATATATAGGCATTTCCCTTCTTCACCAATTTTGTTGGTAATTTTTGAACAACGTAATCTAAGTCTTATATTATTTTCACCACACCTGTTACAAATTGTTTATATTTTTACTTGAAAGTTGCAGTCTTGCTAGTACGCACTCTCTGTATTGGATGAGACATTTGAGTCTTTCATAGAGAAGAAAAGTACGTTGGTCGATTATGGTCAAATAGCTCACCGCCAGTAATAGCCTGCTATTCACGGAGTGCTATGCAAAAACGTTAATTTGTAAAATCTCAACAGTAAATTCATTTGATGAGAGAAATAAAATATGATGAAGTGACAGAAGTGGTGAAAGTTGTCATTAGAAAGTGAAGTGGCATTTGTCATTAGAAAGTGAAGTGACAGAGGTGGTAAACGTTGTCATTAGAAAGTGAAGTGACAGAGATGGTGAAAGTTGTCATTAGAAAGTGAAGTGATAGAGGTGGTGAAAGTTGTAATTAGAAAGTAAAGTGACAAAGGTGGTGAAAGTTGTCATTAGAAAGTGAAGTGACAGAGATGGTGAAAGTTGTCATTAGAAAGTGAAGTGACTGAGGTGGTGAAAGTTGTCATTAGAAAGTGAAGTAACAGAGGTGGTGAAAGTTGTCATTAGAAAGTGAAGTGAAAGTTGTCATTAGAACGTGAAGTGACAGAGATAGTGAAAGTTGTCATTAGAAAGTGAAGTGACAGAGGTGGTGAAAGTTGTCATTAGAAAGTGAAGAGACAGAGGTGGTGAAAGTTGTCATTAGAAAGTGAAGTGACAGAGGTGGTGAAAGTTGTCATTAGAAAGACGTAATAAGAACAAATAATAAGGAATTCTGGTATAATGTATTTTGGAATAATTGTGCTAGTTTTCATCAAACCAACTTCACTTAATTGGAACGTAACTTATAACAAGCCTTTGTTGATAATGGAAACGTTTAAGAACTGCACACTAGTTACTCTAAGTACCGTTTTAAATTAAATTTTCTTTGTTAATTTCTACAGTAAGTTATATTTTCCTCCCAGAAGATATCAAAAGAATCCGCAACTACAAAATAAGATTCCTCAAATTTTAAATAAAGATAATTTTTTGACAATAGGTTTTATGAATGAAATAACATTTAAAGTTACAAATATGTTTGAGAACAAGTGTCAGCTTTCGAATGACCTGCTTAGACTTTATTCAGTGAGATATGTAAACGCACGAATTTCATGATATATCATACATTAACTACTAATTCCAACGACTAATTACCGTCTTTTTTAAAAATTAGAATCTACTTTATAATAAGTTGCTTAACTATTTGAGCTTCTGTTAAAGGGTTTAATAGTTGTACCTAAAAAAAAGGATTACATAATTTAACTGATCATTTTGTTTTTTGTTAATCGCTAAACTTTACATAAAATATGAACAAGAACAATACCTACTTGTATAGTAATGCTCCAGCAATAGATCCAAAGACACAAAGTCCAAAAACTGTAATACCAACCGATCCAAGAACCGGAAAACTTTCTAAAATTAAACAAACAATATACTCAATGGTAAATAAAACAGGCCTTACTTCATACCTTAATATATCAAAACAAATCACGTTGTTAAACTTTTGATTTTTGATATTATGAATCAGTACCTCAAGCCATCTCCTGAAGTACCCTCTGTACAAATGGAACACCTGAAAAAAAAACGAGTAAAGAATACACTAAACTCTAGCCTAAAGAAACATTCCAAACAATGTTTAAACCAAGCATTAATTACAGTTTCTACTATCCAAGTTTCGAAATATGCATTTTATGTTTGTTTGTTTTGAAGTTAAGCATAAAGCTATACAATAGGCTATCTGTGGTCTGCCCACCACGGGTATCGAAACCCAGTTTCAAGCATTGTAATTCCGAAGACATACCGCTGTGCCACTGGGGGGACATTTTATCAATATTTTTTAGTTCAATAACATACCGGTAAGTTTGTTTGTTTGAAGTTATGCACAACGCTACACAATGGGCTATCTATGCTCTGCCCACCACGGGTATCGAAACCCGGTTTCTAGCGTTGTAAGTCCGTAGACATACCACTGTGCCACTGGGGGGCATACCGGTAAGAAAAACTTAATATGCCTCTAATTCGAGAAACGTTCTTATAATATTACTTATCCAAAGATTAATGAGTAAAATTCACTAAATACTAATCTATAAATACAAAGATTTTCATTGTGGTTTGGTAAAAAAGGTTTTTCTTATGTAATGATCAACTATTTAAATCCTCTAAGATTCGGTTGGTAAGAAAATCTACTTTAACATAATTTGTTTTCTACATTTTTTTTTGTAATCATTGATCAATTAGCAAACAAGCTCATAGGAAAGATTTTAATTACGGCATAACTTACCTTTTCTTACCAAGGATTTTTATCGCAGAGAAAATAATATAGATTAGAGAATTATAATTTTCTTCATGTTCACAGTATGAGTGGCATGAGAGGGACTTTACCTTTTCTTTACTTTATGTTTGGAGTAAAATCAATAAGCAAACAGAATTATTAAATGTTTAACTGCTAAGCAAGAGTTTAATATTAGAAATTATGAAGATCAAAATCGCTCTAAAGGGAAAATATCATGTGGTCACGTTTCGGCCATGAGTTTGATTTGGCCTACATTTTTCACATCGGTATTTTTCCCTGGTGCAAATATAACTAATAACTGAACTCTTATTTTGCTCCAGTTTCACATCTAGATCTGTCATTAGCAGTACTTTCAACATATAAAACGAACTGTTCATCATTTAAACCGACAAAAGCAAAAATTAACTCATAGCCCGTGATGTTCACAATGGGCACATGCAGAATGTAAGCACCCTAACGTTCAAGTTAAACTAGTTCAGTATAGTTGATTCTTTTTATAAACTAGGCTAAACTAGTTCACTGTTGTAGATTCTTTTTATAAACTAGGCTATGTGCAGTGTGTAATTCGAGTAGTATAATGGAGCACTATCAAACCGAATTGAGTTCTTTAGTTCAAAGCCTTTGGGCACGAAATCTACGTTGGTTGTCCACTTTATTCGGACTTATACCTAATAATGGGCGGTGCAACCTTTCGCTCAAATTACAGCCATGATACGACATAAATTATTAGTTTGTTTTAAAGTTTCATGGAAACCTAAACAAGGACTGTTACCGCATAGTCGTTTTTAATTTTGAAATGATAGACTAGAAAGAAGGTTTGTTTGTAGTTTAGCACAAAACTACATAATGGGCTATCTGTGCTCTGCCCACCACTAGTATCGATACCCGGTTTCGAGCGGTATAAGTCCCCAGACAAATCTCTTTGCTACTGAGGGGCTAGAAAGAAAGCAGCTAGACAAAAGTATTCATCGCTAAATCTTGAGCTACTCTTTTGTGACTGAATAACGCAGCCATGTCCCAAAATAGTGAAATGATTTCTTGCGGCAACGGGACGCGAGCCATGAACGCATGGATTCATAGACCGACCACATTAACCACTAGGCCACTGTTATTATTACGGTTATTAGTTAGAAAATTATTTATAATGGAGTTTTATGTGAGCTGGAACTGCTTAATTTGTAGAAATTTTTTTATCAAATCCTGATGAAGACAAGTTGAAGCTTTGTTTGCTTGATTGTTGTTAAGCAAAAATGTTACACAATGGGCTTTCTATGCACTGCCCACCATGGGTATCGAAAAACGATTTTTAGTGTTATAAGCCCCCAGAATTACCAGTGAACTACTGGCTGACCCAGTAAAAGCATATCAAAACGCTGTCAAATTTCCAAACTCTAGGAAATGTAAATCTTGCAAAACACAGCTGAGAACAATCCCTATTTTTCTCCGCCTATGTTTTCCAAAATGTACTTTTTTTCTTGCTATCAGGAGTTTTCTTAAGTAAGTAATATGACGGTTAATAAATGCCTTTGTCTGATGCTAATCTGGCAGTAAAATCTTAAGGCTACATTACAAATAGTTTGATTCTTTCGCTACCAGGTGTCGTTCTTTTTAGGAATCAATTAGGATTATATGTTATAAGCGAGTGAAACTTGGAACGTTGATACATATACACACTTAACATAATCTAATTAAATATATTTTCATATCAGATATTTTATCTCGACATTTAAAATCATTAAGCAATCGTAAAAAAACTTAAATCTTTAAAGTTGCACCACAGTGAAACAGTTTTGCTTGGACTTAATGATTTTGTATAAGGTGTTCCCGTTGGTGCTTATAAGGCGAAAACTGATAAAGGCCTTAGTACAAGATGTTGTCTAATTTAGACTTCAGGCTGATACAGTCGGCAATAGATTCAAATGATACTATTGCGTGTAAAGTTTAATTACATCCGTAATATCCAAGTTGAAGTCTGAGAAACATTGTTCTTAGGAAAATCTAACGCCATTTACGTATGACAAAATATAACGGAATCAAAGTTAAATAACATACATAAAATCCAGCTTTATGATACAATTGCGTGTAAAGTTTAATTCCATGTTTAATGTTTAAATTTATAGTCTGTAGGGACGTGCCATCCCTTTTCTGGTGAGGTGTTTGAAGTGGGCTGAGCAAAAAACCGAAGGGGCTGTACTCTACATCTTGTGGGCATACATATTGCAGTATTTACGAATTGAACCAACTTTAACAGTAAACATTGTTCGTTGGGTGCAGGGACTATAGGGGAGGCTAAGGTACATTTTAGGGTAGCTATTCCTTAGAATGTTGAAACGGTATTTGTTTTTGGAAAACTTAGCGACTAGCTTATGTATGGCGAAATATTCGTATTTTTATATTTATGTGAAAACTCCTAAAGTTATTTGCTACCGTCCCTATTGTTGAAATATCCACCACCCACCATGTACATTAAGTGATTGGCTGTCACTCTTATAATGCACCCACAGGTGATGAGAATATTTCAAAGAATTGAACTGATATAGACCTTGCTATAAACGAATCAAATTTACATAAATAAAAGTTGAGATGAACCTACTTTGTGGTAGACAATGAAGAGCATCTCCGGTAAAGCCGCAATAAGGAATATCTGGCGGAGGACCGTCCAGTCCACCTGGCCAATGGATATATGTACCTGGAATCTTTTCATAACGCCTTCGGATTCCATAATACGTTGCAACAGGCTGGAATTGAAAAAGAACAAATATAATTAAGAATGAAATATTAATTAAACTGTTCAGTTACAAAGATAACAATCCGAAGCCAGAAGGGTAAAATGAATAAATAATCACCAAACATCAACCGAATTAAAGCTAACTATTCAATCTTTGTTGGAAATATTTCGGTAATTGTTTTAACTTTAGTAATCATTTGTAATACAAACTACTTTAAAAATGACTGTCTGTTTGATCAGCGCTCACAATTGGTGGATATATCCATTTATTTTGTGTTTTTTGGAAAACACATTCGCTAAAAAACGAGGCACCGCATATAAGGATTAGCGATAACTTCCTTATTAGCATTCTAGATTTTCAGTATGTACAATGAAACTTACAAAGTGTTGGAGCGTCCAATATAATTAATGCACCTTTATTAGTTCTTATTCAAACAACATGTAGGAAAATATATAACTTATTTGATGTATGATCCCTTTGTTAGTTCATACTCGAAAATCAAATTTAAGCGTCACACACACCGAGCACTTCCAAGAGAAAGAACTTCCTAATTAACGAAATATGTTCTACCTTCCGAAATAGTTCTAGTTATTAGCATTCTATAGTAAGTTTGTTTGTTATTACCCATAAAGCTACACAATGAGTTATCTATGCCATGGCCACTATGAGTATCAAAATCCGATTTTTAGCGTTATAAGACCTCAGATTTTCCCCCTGAGCCACCAGGGGGCTATTTAGAAGATGGAGCTATGATACTGTTTTTATTCGAGTCTTTTGTTTGCTTGTTTTAGAGCATAGTCATATTGGGCTATCTGCTGTGTCTATCGCGGGGAATCGAACTCTGGATTTTAGTGTTGTTAGTCCATTGACTTAGTACTGTCCCACCGGGGGATTCGAACTTTTTATAATCACGTAAATATTTCAGGCTTAAAAACATTCGGCTATTTTCAAAATATTTTATTTCCAGAGGTTAACCAAGTAAAGTTTAACCGTTAGGTAATAAATTAACTTGGAGAATACGTGGAATTGAGCACTAACAAAAATTTTGAAGAAGTTAGTAAAAATTGTGAATATATGAAATATATCGAAAATATTAAAACTGCATAATCTCTGCAACATCAGTACTGTCTCTGAAGGAATATTGTCTCACCCTCATGATTCCAGTCTCAGGATCCAGGTCGCTTAATGTGTAGTCTGCCTCTCTGTCGCCGTTTGCATTAATGAAAATATCCCCTGCCATTCCTGTGGCGATAGACGAAATAAAATGAGCAAAATAACTATACAGAGGCATTTAAGATAATTCTTAAAATCGTTTCAAAAGTTAGTCCAACTTTAAATTTAGGAATCATGATATCTTAAATTTTACGATTGAAATATGTTGAGTAATTACTCATAATGGCTTAAAGGTTAATCAGACTTTACTTGTCTAAATAAAGTTCTTTTAACTACCATATTTACACGTTACATATTTCTATAGTTTTTAGTTTATCACATACTAAATGTCTTCGATTTAGAACTAACGTTGTCAGTTTTCTTTCACTAATTCATCCATGGATATTTTGAGATATTAAAACAAAATGACCATGGATTAATATATCTTAATGTTTTTTTAACTGAAAAAGTTGATAAATCCTGTAACAAATGGTAGTAAAAAGCACAGTGATCCGGGAGGAAACATTTTCCTTAACAATCACAAGCTATCTTATACTTGTAATTTTAACCTAATTTAAATATAAAAAGGTTTGAACTCATGTTTTTTAGTTCTTGAAGATTAATTTGAAGTGGAGATAGTGCAAAATAAATACTTTTTCTGATTCTTATTTTTTTAAACTGAATACTGAATACCGAAATGGATACAATTTTAATGATTAAATTTTATTCAGTTGTTTGTTTGTTGAACTTAGCGCAAAAGTACTCGAGGCTATCTGCGCTAGCCGTTCTTAATTATGAAGTGATAGTCTAGAGGGAGCCAACTATGTAACATCACCCACCTACAACTCTTGGGCTACTCTTAATAGTAGTATTGACCGTCACATAATAACGCCTCTACAGCTGATAGGACGAACATGTTTGGTGACGAGAATCGATCCCGTGACACGCAGATTGCGAGTCGAGCGTCCTGACCACCAGGTTATGCCAGAGCAAATGATTGAATTCCAGCCAGAACAACGATAGCACCTTATGCGATGCTTGAGAAACCCGGCCAGGTCAGAAATCACAAAGTTTTGACAGCTTTTGTACAGCTATCCAGAGGGAGGGAAACCACTCATAAGCATATCGCAGGCTTAAACCTTGGACCTTTTACTCAGAAGCCCTGGTTTTGAGTAGATAAACGAGGAAAGCCTATGATGTTTGAAGAATAAGTGTTTCACCGCCCAACTGGACAGAATTGTGCTCATATCTGGGATATGAATAAACCGTTGTCTAGGATTTCTTAAATTAACTCATTAAAATAATGACTGCTTATTTTTATTACTAATAGATTTTTATTACTATTCTCTCTTTTGAATTATCTCCAGATGCCACTAATTTGTCTTTAGCGTTTTAGCTCATTTTAGCTCATTTTAACCATGAAATGTAATTAAACAATGTTTTTACTCATACAAAATTATAGTATGGGAGACCAGGGCTGTTTCACTCACTTGTGTTTTTTAATTTTTCAAATAAAAGTCATATGTGAACTTTAGGATAAGAAATTTCGATACCAATATAAATTAGACACCTTTTACAATTTCTGAGGAAAGTAGCAAAAAAGCAACTGATTTGTTTTTGTTATGTAATAGAAGAGTATGCGTTATGTGCTAACCTATCCAGAGTACGAGCAAGTTGGCACACGGTCTGGAGTAAGTTGCCAGGGGTGAAATTAAGTCAAAACACTATATTTATGTCAATATATTTATTCCACATTTAAGTTTTTAACGGCTTCTCACCATGTTGTCTACAAACACTGTTTGAAATTCAAAGTTTGGAAACTATATCACAAGCAAATAATGGAGATGAAGCAACGCAATGAAGAATTTGAAGGAAGTTTAATTATTTTTCGTTAATTTTCCAATGTAAAATGTATTTAAATGTTTTGGTATTATATCTCGCTTTCTTTAAAAGCGTACAAAATACATACAAGTTTCTCATTATGGGGCTGGTTGACACGCGTGTCAATCTGTCTGAAGTGAAATGTGTCAATGTGCCCCAAACCGCCATTTTGCTAGAAATGACTTGTATGTACCATTTTTTAGCCGAAACAATGCACTTTCAAATACTGTGTAATTTAAAATCTTTTAACAAAGTATTTATTATAACATAACAACATTTTTGCAGTAAAAATATTTACTTATGTATGTGAAAAATATAATTTTTTATTTCTGTACACGACAGAGAGTTTCGATCACGATGAAACTAAAACTGCAAGTGACGCGCGTTTGTTAGTGATTATGATATCACGACTATCAACTTTAGCATATGCAATCTATTGATATTGTGTCAACCTGACCCTGTGGCCAACCAGCCCCGTCTCTCCTACCCCTGCTGCTACTGTCATGAGTGGCCGAATTACGAGGGCGTTGATCATCAAGAAGCAAGAGGTCAGTTGTTTCACCAATAAATTCCTAGGGTGGCGAAATCGATTTTTTTGCCCAACCAAAATTTTATCACATCTCAAGTTTAATTTTTTACTTCAGTTAATTTTCGAATGTAGAATAAAGTCAGATATTGTACATTACATTCTGTGTGTGATCAGCAATACTTAGTTTAAAGTCACACCGATAAAGAAATAATTACACATGTGTCCGTTAGTGCTGTTTTATATATGAAAATATGGGGAAAATACGTTTTTAATACTTATATTTATTCTTCCCTGCTAACCCAATACATTTTTTTGGATCGGCGCCTCTGTTGGAATACATAATAGAAAGTCTCACTTTAAACATTATCTATATCAGTCCTTTTATAATACAATAAAGTCTTATTGTATAACGTGCTTTAACTGTTTAGTAAGAATACACATATCGTTATTACATACCATGATCTGCCAGATTAGATGTTCTACACCCAAAGGATGTAAATACTTGTTTTCAAGCATGAAGGTGATTGATTTAGAAAATAACTGTTATAAGTCATAGTTTTTATTAAACAACTGTTTTAAGTTTGAAACGCACTGACTTAATTAAACAGTTGTTTTTAATCATGAAAGGTTTAACCGAACGAGTTAAACAATTATTTTCAACCATGCGATTTAATTCAGTGGTAATTACACTGAGTAAAAAATTGTTTTTAAACATGAAAAGTAATTATCTTGATTAAACAGTACTTGAACTGAACATATGCTTGTCTCTAAGTTTGAAACAATAATTCAGTTGATTAAGCAGCTGCCTTCAAGATGAAATGTAGTTGAAACATGTAAGTAGTTTTCTTTGGTGATGGAGAATGTTTGAGCTGTGTAAACAGTTGTTTTCAGTGATGGAGAGTGTTTGAATTGTATAAATAGATGTCTTCGGTGATGGAATATTTTTGAAACCTGTAAACAACTATATCTAGTAATGAGGTGTCTTGACTGTGTAAACAGTTGTATTTAATGAAGTAGATTACAAAACTATGTGCAGAGGCTTGAATGGGTAATGAAGAAAACGTTTAATATGAGTTTAACACTCTCCAAGATTCACCACAACAAAACTCAACTCACGAACAAAATTGATATTAACAAACCCAAACAACAGAACATTACACTGCAGTTTACCTTTTGTTCCTGAAACTAGCTCAAGAATAATCCACACTTAGACAAAATTAGCCATTTAACACAAAATTCCTGTCAACGTCAAATTATCTCAAAATCCTGGCCCTAAATTAAAATCTTTACTGAACAAATATATTTAGAATCCCACAATACCAATGTCATTTGCAAAATAACATGCAATAACAGAATTCTACATCAGAAAAACATGAAGAAAATTGGAAACCAGAATCACAGAACACAATAAAAACAGTCCCATGTTTTCCACCATTGCAACTCAAAAAATCATAGTATATCTATTAAAAACACAGTAAGCAACGAACCAAACATAAACAAACGAAAAATCAAGGAATCCATCTAATTGAACAAAACAACCCTACTCTACTTGGGGTGCCAAGATATCTCTTCTAAGTCTTGCAACAATATTTGGTCATGTGACCTCTTTGTTCCATACTGTATATATATATACATATCTGTGTCAGTGTAAACTACCTGTACCTGATGATGACAAAACCTTGTCGAAACGTTGTAAATTTGCTGTTATGTTAAACTTATATTAAAGTTTTTCTTCATTGCCCATTCAAGCCGTCTCTAAGCATTATTAGTTTCAAAGTTGGTATCTTGTCATCGAAAATGTACAGAGGAATATAAAGTAATGGGACATGATGGAACTGTGCAATAACATAATCAGGATCATCTCAGGAATTGTTTGAAATCACTGAGAAATAAGTAACTGTACCTCCGTAAAATGTGCTGTTCCATAATTTTTTTGCCAAGGTTCTTCCATCTAGTGGATCGCCTCCTTCTACAAGTGTCTTATTCAGAATATGTCCATAGATCAGGACGCAGTCATAAAACGCTCCAAGGATAGGGTCAACCTGTAGAGAAAGAGAACTATAATAGTCAATTTGTAGAAAAACTGCGATACCCAAATATATTACTGCTCATGTGTAAGTTTACGTTATTGTGTTTGAGAATTTAAAATTTGAGTACAGAAGTTATGTATAATGACTTTGAGAGCTTTTAATCGACCCTTCAAATATCGTATTCCTCCTTTTAAGCGCCCTGACCGCTTAAATAATTATTAAAAAGAGGGTCGCTAATAAGAAAACAATTCTTCCTATATGTTTTCTATAACAGTCGCAGTTATACTCACTAAACAAGTCTTTTAGTTTACACGCTTGAGTAAAAGACGCAATGTTAAACAACTACAGATTTATGTGTTGTATCAGGAGAGGTAAATGGGGAATAGAAACATGTAATAAATATCTTTTAGCAGTAGGCCATAGGTAAACGTACGATATTGCTCAGCAGCTGTGCAAGATCTAAAAGGAATTAAATTGTTTTTCCCTCAAACTATTTTACTAAACGGTGTAGCGACAAAAAATACTGAAGCGACTCCAAGTTCCATAACGGTAGTTATATTATCAACAGTTAATATTAACTTAGATTTATGTTTAATTAAATTAAATACTGAATTAATATTGAGGAAGTTATTATTTGGCAAACCTATCATAATTTAGATTATGACAATAGAAATTACGGCTAGCACCAAAAACTTAAATAGCCAACTGTTTTGGTCCTATTTACTCTCGTATTAATCCTCACTTTTTATAATAACTTTACAATCGTTAGTTGTTGGTCGCGTGCTATATAACACTGACGTTTACTCCTCTTTTATTTTTAGTTTATCTATGTGCGGAAGATAACGACCAGACTCGTACTTTCTCTCATTATGTAATTTACCCCGAACTTGAAAAGTGATGAGCAAAACCTAGAAACATAGTTCTTGGTCAACATTCTATTTATAGTGAAGCTATCTTATAAACACGGTTCCTGGTCAACATTTTATTTATAGTGAAGCTATCTTATAAACACGGTTCCTGGTCAACATTCTGTTTATAATGAAGCTATCATAGAAACACGGTTCCTAGTCAACATGTTATTTATAATGAAGCAATCTTAGAAACACGGTTCCTGGTCAACATGCTATTTATAACGAAGATACTAAGATCTCATTGAAGTTCTAGTGTTTAATTTGATATCTTTCTTTATATAATTTTTGTATGTTCTTGTTTTCCAAATCTAATAGTTACAATCTCTTTTCTTAAAGCTTCGTTTTAGTGGCGTTCTTTATAATTGTATATGGGATGTTAAACTAAAAGAACCAGAATGTGGGCTACTCAACATAAGACTTTGTAGTCCTAACCATAAGAGTGTGTATTGTTCCCCATAATCTTTCTGTTGCTCTCCGTAAGACTGTATTACTCACAATAAGACTGTATGTCTCGCCAATGATGGCCATAAGACTGTGTATTACTCACCATATGACTGTTTGTTGCTCATTGTAAGATTATGATAGTCAGAATAAACAGTGTATTATTCAACGTAAGATCATATGATATTTACCATAACGCTGTGCATTACTTATCATAATACTATGATACTAATAATAACACAGTGTGTTACTCACCATAGTTTCGTCTGCATTTGAATTATACTTTAGTCGAGAATTTTCTAAAACTTTTGCAGAAAACTGCTTGTATTGTAGAGTAGCTGGAACCCGTAGAGTCACTACCATAAGAGCCTCGTACATTTTTCGGGCGTTCTAAAATAAGTACCAATAGTTTGCATCATTAAATCTTCGAGTAATAATCACGTTTCAATACCAATATGTTGTTTTGTTATTTAGTCATTTAATCAAACTCTGAAGCAGAATATTGAAATATTTCACAGAAAAAATGTGCCCTAATTTTGTAATAGCAGATATATATTTCAGAGAAAAAAGTGCCCTAATGTTATAATAGTAATTTTGTATTTCACAGAAAAAAGTGCCCTAATGTTATAATAGTAAATTTGTTTTAAGCAACACAAACTTTATATTTACATTTTGTTAAGAGAAGAAACTTTCATGTACATATGGTCGTATATCAGTCTTTGAAAGTGCACCCATTTCATTTGATTACTGTATAAATTAAAAAAAAACGTTTGTAGAAAAACAATCAAATAATAACAAAACACAATCACTCATTATCCTGAAAACAATGCGATGTATTTATCTAAAATAACTCCCTTTATACCAAAGATGTCTTGTTTGACTTATGTATAAGTAATATACATCAAATTAATTTGACATCACCTTATTTCTGTAATCTCCAGGTTTGTACCAGGATATTTCACCGTACTTCTCTTTGTTTTCAATTAGTTGGAAGGTGAAGAAAGTGTATTCGCCATCGCCCATTCCTAGGTTATAAGCTTCAAGAAGGAGGCTGCGAATAATTTCCCACCCAGCGACGAAGACAAATACTAAAGAAATACAAGTATAAATGGTGATTTAAGAAGAACTTAAAATATATATATAAAGATAATTGAAGCCTGGGTAAATTTTACTATCATATTAAGTATCGGAAAATATTAAGATGATATTAACACCTTATTCTGCTGATGATCCCATTTTTATGATTAAAATCAAATCAAAAGGCGAAGAAATATTTAATAAAAGCCCCGCTCCCTCACAGGTGGCTCAGCAGCAAGTCTGGGGGCTTATAACTATATAAATAGGGTTTTGATTAGCAGTGGGCATAACTCAGATAACCCATTTGTGTAGCTTTGCGCTAAACAACAACAACAAAAATATAATTCAAATACACTCTGACTTAATTTTAGTCAAGGATTCACTTCATGTGAATATTTGGCGCTAAGCATTCCATATGACATATATATGTTTCAGACAAAAGTATGTCTATTGTTCTTTGAGTAGACAACACAATCCCTGTTCGTGAGAAAATTTGCCCAGCTTTGTTATTCCTAGTTATTTGCTTTGAGAGCCGAATGTTACAACAGTTCTCTTTGATATACGTGTCAAAGTATCAGATCATTCAGTTGTTATCTAAGAAAAGTTAATCGTAATTATATTTTCATTGGTTTATTAAAACAATTATGTAGCTTATTTTTAATAAAAAATGATTGGTTTCCTAAAATGTATTTTGTCTTCATATATTTTTTCGTATTATACAATTTCAAGTTATTTATTATTCAGAGCTCATGCATGAATAATATGGTGTTTTCTTACACAACATGATATGGCAATGTTTTACGTGATATGGTCCCAGACATTCTAGAATTTTTAAATACATTGAACTATCAACATGTTAAAGTTTTAAGAAAGTATGCAACCAGTTTTATGGAAGCCTTTCAGTGTTATGGCAGAGAATGTAAAAAGCTGGCGAAGCATAAGAAACCAATAAGTAGATATTTTTCACATTCATTTAATTTTTTCCACTATGGAATTGAAAGAAAAAAAACACTTGCAAAGAAGCGTCACTTTTACCACGACTGTTAGTCCTAGTGGTATCTATTGCTTCGCAGGATTTCAGGATTTTGTACTTTGATATTAAAGTGTTTATACTACATAAGCAAACAGTAATTCAAGTATATAATCAACAAACTGAGTTAATTTTTATCGATTTTATGTTTAACTCCAAATTAATCACGCAATTTTACGTCTGTTATGTGAAACCCAATCACAAAGTTGTAAATTATTGTTGACCAACTCTTTAGTTGCTATTTTCTGGTATACCACTACTTCGTCCTTGGATGACCATAACTTACATGATTTAATTTGTTTTCTTTATTGTTCAATGCTATGCAGTTGTATTCGTTTTTATGTTCTTTTTCATGAAATGGTAAGTTATTGTTAATGTATTCGTAGCACAGTTCTTGATGTCTTTTTTGTGATATTTAAGCCTAACTTGAAGAGGTCGTTGTGTATTTCAAAATAATCATTAGTGGATTCTTTCGGTGCGATAAAAGATTAGAACCAGGTGACTTAACATTAGTAAACATGATTTATAAGATGAGACGATTTTGAAGGCAAGTGTAATGTTAAATTTGTTCATTATACTCCTGAGATTCTTTTCCTGGTACATAGTATGTAAGGAATAACTATTTTTCGTATATACCGGCTAGTGAGCTTACAAGATACAGTCTTTTTGTTTATATGGTCAGCAAAACTACAGTAAACCAATAATTAATAAACAATAAGATAGAAAGACTTTCTCCCTTACTTACCAGGTTTTGGAATAAAGTCAGGAGAACAATGAGTAAATTTAACATCAGCGAAGTCTTTAAAAGTCCTTCTTCTAAAAGAGCATGGTTAATAAGATCAAATAATCTGTTCCCAGATGATTTATGAAGAGCATTCATTACAAAGTATATTCTGAATGCAGCAGCAATACATTGTAAAGACACAACGGACACTCCAAATTATAATCAAATGTAGTTATACATTGTGAGGACACAACGGACACTTCAAATTATAATTAAAAAAACTACAGAAAACAACAGCAGTGCTGTAGAGTTAAGCAGTGATAAAATATTACAGAAAAAAGAAACAAATATAAACACACACATAGAAAGGGGAAATCAAGAGCTCTATATGGCCATCCATGCACGCTACAATGGTCCACAAGTAGGAATCAACCAAAACGATGTCAACAACGACTTAAAGTAGTATGAACATCTCTGTGATAAGAAGAAATCAAACACTTCATATGACGAAAAAATTGACAAAAAAGTTAGAACTTTAAACAAAATTCGTCTAAAACATAATATCACAATGTCTTAGGAACAATTTTTGAGGGGCCTTCATATCTTTTGAACCCCTTTGTTTTAGAATGATAAGGAGAAAATCCTGATATGTCTGTGATTTCTACGATATAAAAACATTATAAAGAATGCTAGCTCTCAAATTAAATAGCACTTATATTAAGATATTGTTTGAAAATTCTGTTTGAAAGATTAGAATTATCTTTTGCTGACACTGAAGCTTCTGCGTACATACTTTTAATATTCATAATATTAAAAAACAGTCATTTATTATAAAATAATTCATCTATTCGAGATTATGCGCCCCCGACTTAAAAATCTTCTTAGATTATCCCAATTAATGAAACAATAAAAATAAAATTCAATGGTTACCTCTGGCTTCTTTACTAGCTTCTGTCAGCAGCTTCGTAAAGTTGGCATCTATAAATGATTTCTGCGAAAATTCTTTTAACGAATAAAAAATTTCGTAATCATTTATATCCTTGAAGATATCCACCAAGCTCCTCTTCATTAGAATTTTTTGCAGGTTGGTCTCGTCTACAATAATAGCGATATGATGCCAGTTAAATTCCTTGAGGATTTCTAAAATAAAGTTAGCCGCTCCTTCCAAAGAGAAAGAAAGTCTAGTTAGAGTGGTAAAAATGGATTTGTCGGAAACTGTGGTGTCAATACCTCCTGCAGTGTAAATTGGAATATTCCAGTAGGATGCCATCCGCCCTACAGGATCAAGAGCTAGGGTGCAAGCTGGGCCGACGAATGCAGTAACTCTTCTCAAGAAATATTCTTCTGCAGCATATGCACCAGCAACATTTGCTTTGCAAGAAGAAGCGCCATCGCGAAAGACAATATTGAACTTGATATTGGAATATTTCTCATTAATTTGAGTCGTGGCAAGTTCTAAAGCAGGCCTAATAATTTCCAAACTTACGGGTAATTCCGAGTTTATAACAAAAATACTTACTATATCTGCTTGAAAGCGTTTATCAGAGATGCTGTGGTCAGTCGAGTTTTGACAGTTCCCATGCCAAAGAATGTGTGAAAAGAATACCACAGCAATACATGTTATTATATTCATTGCTAAGAGGGAGCTAGGTTTTTCAGGAGGTATAGAGAAGACGTGAACTGTTGTGTATCTCAAGGCTCGGATAATGTTATTCTCAAGTTCTGTTGAAACTTATATTGTATTAGAAAGATTCATACGCTAGGAAATCATAAGAATGCTATTTCCGTTTCAAAGATGAATCTTATTCAATAAAGTGTTCCTGAGAACGTGCAGTAATGATAAAGATTTTACCCGACATCTTTCATTTCCTAAAAGGAAGAAAACGAGCAGTCACGATACGCTGATCAAAGATCCATTATGTAATTGATAAGAATACCGATAAGCCTATGTATGTATACGGATATACATAACTACAACTAAAATTTTAATTGAAAGAGAAAAATACGCTATTCATTTTAACGCTTTTATATCATCTGCTGAGATTAGTTTATGCTAGCATAAAATACAAGTGCTCCGATACGGGGTTCGAAGGCGCCCATAAGATTCACAGAGTGGTACTCGAGCGTGTGTGCCAAGAGTGATCGCGTTAACTTTTGAGTGGGGATATGAAAGAAGTTTTCAAAATGGTCTCAAAATCCCAAGGAGGGGTGCAGGAACACAAACTTGACGCTGCATTAGAGTTCAGGGACCCTGGTTTAGTCTTCCTTAGTATTCTATAGAAATAAGGAAAAAGGTGCCATGCCCTAGTCACCCCGAGCTTGCCTGCCAAGTCAGGTCCTGGTAACTCGAAAACTGTATAGTTCACGGGCAAGCACGTTCATGAACACAGCGTGAATTGAAATATAATTTAACGTTACTTGAATCCTTTTTCGTAACATGACTGAATATGCACACTTTACATAGTTTATTGGCGTTAGGCATAACTTAACATTTTGGAAATTAATAATTGTAAGTTGAATATAAAACAAAAAATAATAATAATGAAAGGTTTCAGGTTTGTCCATAGTGAGAAATGTCCTTATTACATCTCGACAAGGCCACCCACACTTTTAGCTGTAGACGCGTTATAAAAGTGACAGTCAATCCCTTTATTAGATTTAAAGAGTTAGACAAAGCCGTTGTGGTGGCAGGTTGATTGATCTATTCTTGGTCAGAAGTTCAACATTAGACAGAGACTGGTATACCTAAATCCCAGGAAACCTCTGACATAATGTGTCCTTCAGATTGAAGTACGTAAGAAAGAAAGGAGGAACTAGGAAATGTCAGGTCATCAGAATCCATTTGTCAACGTCCTGTCTGATCTACTTATTTCCTAGTTTTATTATTTTGTATAACGTTTTGAGTCTCTTGAAAACTTTAACGTTTTATTATGTTACAATTTGTGTTTTTTTTTTTTTAGAAAAGCTAATGGATTGACCAGATCGTTAACGTTGAATATATATATTTTTTAGTGTTTCGGTAATGTTAAGCTTTATATTTACTAAAAAACAGCGGGTCTCAAACTGGGGCGCGCGGAATGTATCGTAGGGGGTGTGTTTCTAAGAAGGTTCACGAAAAATGAAAATAATTAATGCACTCATGTGTACGTGATATTATAAGTAAAACAAATCTCACTACTCTGCTTCGATATGCAGTCTCACCCATCTTGTTAAAAGGTAAGCAATATATCATATAAAATTGATGATACTCTATACTTTTATGCATGTTTGTGTTGCACTCCAATTTTTAGTATTTAGCGATAGTGGATTTTTTTTACCGGTATATGTACGTGTGTTTGTGTGTCAAATAACACAAGTGGAAGGAGGACGCTGTCTAAAAAGTTTTAGGTCCACAGCTAGAGCAGATGCTGAAATATGCTCTCGAAATTGATCATTTAATAGAATCCCGAACGTATTTGTCGTCTAGGTTTTGGTTGTTATTTACAAAGATAATGTCTTTATTAAGTGAGATAACGTGTTATTCTATTTTGAAAATTTATGCATCTCTTGGTTGAGATATTAATATAAGTTAAGCTGATGCAAAAAATGGTTAAGTTGGCAAACTTCATTAAAGATCAAAGGTAACTGCGAATTAACTTTAACGAATAGAATAATTGGATGATATTTGCCAAACTGAAAATACATTTTTGAAATTAAATTGTTTTTTACATACAGATAAATGTAAAAAAAGAAAAAAGAAATGTGCTGTCAAGTTTATGGATTGTATTTCGAATGTAATTAATCTATGTTTTCTGTCCTATGTAAAGAGTCCCACAGTGGCACAGTGTTATGTTTGCGGACTTATAACGCTAGAAACCAGGTTTCGATATCAGTGGTGAACAGAGCACAGATAGCCAATTGTTTAGCATTGTGCTTAATTACAAACAAACCTATGTAAATAGTTGTGAGAAAAAGTCCACACCAAAGCTTGAACTGAAATAAGAGTTATAAAATTATTTTTTACTTATTTTTGTAGCTGTTATGAAAATAATGTATACATTTTTTGACTAGGACATTAATCTAACTTAAGCTTATGGAACAGAAGGTTTAGTTGGCGAGCGTCATCAAAGATCAAAGGTAACTGTGAACTAATTTTAACTGAAAAAAAATTGGTTGAAATTTGTCAGACAGTTTCTAAAATCACATTTTTTTATAGAGAAATATATATAAAACAACAACAGCAACAACAAAAATTTCTCTCAATTTTGTGCAGTTTCAAATACAATTAATCTATATGTTTTTATCCAATGTAAAGAAATGTAAGAAAAAGCACAAATCAAAGCTCATATTGAAATAGGTGTCACATTATTATTTTTTAGCTTTTTTTTTATCAGGCAATGAGTGTCGTAATAGTTAAGCGTGATGGGAAATTCCATTATTTGATTCAAAGAACTTCACAAACGTCTTCCCTCGACTCGTAATCTGAGGGTCACGGGTTCGAATCCCCGTCACACCAAACATGCTCACCCTTTCAGCCGTGGGGGCATTATAATGTGACGGTCAATCCCACTATTCGTTGGTAAAAGAGTAGCCCAAGAGTTGGCGGTGGGTGGTGATGACTAG